TATTGGATTAAATCGGTGAATTCAAGAAATTTGACGCTTGCATCTGAGATTCATGGCAACTTCGCTGACGTCAGATAGGAACGCCCTCGCCCGGTGCTACATAGATGTGAGTGAGAACGTAGGTATGTAGCAAGCGTAAGGGTGAAAGAGACAGCGAATACGACGTTGCCAAGCGTTGCGACTGTTATTGGCAAAATTTTTAAAAGCGATGTTATAGATTTTTATTTAATCATATATGAATGAATAAAAATCTATAACATCGCTTTTAAAAATTTCGCCAATAACAGTCGCAACGCTTGGCAACCAGAATTCATATGGGTATACAATGTATACTATACATAAATTCCATTTTTAGGCGATATTTTATTATTTTGCAACGTAATTGCATTGTCAGTTCATGAGGCGTTGTTATAGTATATAGGTATATTATATAATACAATATATAATAATATATATAATAATAATATATAATATATATAATATAATATATATACTATAACAACGCCTCATGAACTGACAATGCAATTACGTTGCAAAATAATAAAAAAATCGCCTAAAATAGTTATTTATGTATTAAGGGCATAATAAGGTTTTTATGGTCCGAGGCGGACCATAAAAACTAGTTATGCCAGCAATGTATACAAAACTTTAAGCACGATTAATATATTATTATTTTTAATATATATTATTGTTTTTAAAGACGTTTACGTCAAAGAATTTTTGTTATAATTGTCATATTATAATGTCAACTGACATCAGTCAGTTTCTCTAGTTTAAAGATGAATGAAATTGAGGAAGCAGCTGAAAAGGCAAAAAATTGCGGCCTGCTGCCGGAAAAATCAAAATCTTTATACGAAAAAACTTACTTCGAATATATCAAATGGTGTAACATTGTTGTTTTTAATTTTTGACGTTTCATTATAGCCCGCTGGGTCATAATAACGCCCGCGGGCTATAAAAAGACGTTTACGTCAAAGAATTTTTGTTATAATTGTCATATTATAATGTCATCGTGCATAAATGGAATTTATGTATACCCATATGAATTTTGGTTGCCAGTAGTTGGCAACGGGTTTTAAATGCTGTAGGATAGGACACAGTTCTACCACAATCGAAACACTAAAACTCATGGCCGGGCAACCTTAAAAATGCTATGCTGAATTCTGGTCTTGTTCGATAATGTAGATGGTCCTACGAAAAAAATGCAATCAAAAATAGTAAAAAGTCCATTTGAGGGACTGTAACTTCGTTGTCTTTTATTGTTTGTGTTATAAACATAATACGTAGAAGATGACGAATTTATTAATTTTATTTCTTATACAATATTTTATTAGAAAAATTAGATTATACAGGGTGTCCCTAAAATTGCGCATTATTTTGACTTATTAGAATTTAAAATGTTTTTTTATTTATTTATAGATAAAAAACAATTTTCGTTATGTTAAGATTTGTTAAAAATTGTAGATATTAAATTAAACCAGTGATAAAAAACATTACTGTAACCAAATTGTAGTTAAGTTAATTCTGAAATAAATGATACCTAAGATAAAAAATAATAATTTTTACTTGGATATTTCCAACTTTTTGCAACTCTCTACATTTCAAGAAAATTTGTTTAATCTTAAGTTTACCCTAAAAATAGTAAAATATATGACAAAGTATAGCTTAAAAAGAATCCAACACTGCTAAAAAAGAATGTTTCATTAAAAATAAGAAAGTTGTCATTGTACCAGGCAAAACCGAACACCTATAATATTAAAAAAACAATCACTGCATAAATTTTGATTGGTCAAATAGGTGCGCTGTTTTTAAAGAAAATGAACACAACCTTAGTCATAATGCGATGTACAATGTACATGTCTTCAATTTAAAAAATGAACACAACCTTAGTCATAATGCGATGTACAATGTACATGTCTTCAATTTAAAAAATGAACACAACCTTAGTCATAATGCGATGTACAATGTACATGTCTTCAATTTAAAAACGACGATAGCGAAAGTACTCATAGTTCAATTTAAATGATAATAACGAAAAAACACATCAATCCAATCAAACCAATTTAGGAAAAATAATGATTATAATGATATTTATACCTACTTATTCTTTGTATGCATCAATAATTACACTGTAGGTAAATTTTTAACTCTTCAAATATCACAGCTAAACGCTCGGACACGTAAACATAATTTTTGGTCGTAGATTCCAAATCCGTGCTCAGTTTAGCTGTATCAGGTCTAAAAAAGTTTTTCCTCTCGGAAATCCGCTCCGGGGACACACTGTATTCTGGTATATTTTAATTTGTAAAATAATATATTTCACCTCTTGTGCCAAAATTCCTATGCTTTTTATTTCAATTAATATAATATCCTCAATTTTACTCAATAAAAAATAATTGCAAAAAACCATTTTGAATTTCCTAAATTATCTACAAAAAACCCTCAGGGACACGTGTTGATTTTGATCAATTAACTTCAAATTTTGCAAGAATTTGTTTTTTTTTATAATTTGGAACTGATGTGTGGGTCTAGCAAAATTTATTTTTTTTTGAAATTTATACAGGGTGTTTGCAATATCTTTAAATTTGGACCTGATACAGCTAAATCAAGCATGGATTTGTAATCTACGACCAAAAATTAAGTTTTCGTGTCCGCGCTGTGATATTTAAACCTCCCTACAGTGTTCATCATATTTTAATTGGATACCTAATTTAGGCCAAGAGATGAACAGACTTAATTTCAACCCCTTAGCGGCTTTTAATTTCCTTATTTACGCTGTTTTCATGCAAATGACTGTCTCCAATTTAGCATCATAACCAATTTACAATTTTGCGCATTCCATTTTATTTAAATCTAAAATTGTAGCTTTATAATATCCTGGTGTTCTCACTTTCTTAGTAGGTATACAGAAAACTCGCTTTTTATAAGAAAATCTTTAATACAAACATAGTTTTACCATAAAATTATCTTATTGTAATTATTAAATATTTTTAACACTTTCTTATGAACAAATAGTAATACATAATAATCTATAAAATACATATTTAATTTATCACATGAGAAATTACAGTTAAATTAATAAACATTAAGGGCCGGTTTTTCAATCGTTGGTTAACTTTATCTTACGGTTAATTTCCTTAGATACTATTGTTAACACAATAGTATCTAAGAAAGTTAACCGTAAGTTAAACTTAACCAACGATTGAAAAACCGGCCCTAAATCTATTTAAATAAATATAAAGTAAGCTTAACGAACATTCATATAATATGTAATTATGTTTAATACAAAATAAATTAAAATAAGTTTATATATATTATATTTTACATCGTAGATTATAAATTAATAAATAAAACAGCAATTACATTTAGGAGATAAAATAAATTTATTTTCACTATTTTATTAATATTCTTAGTTAATATGAAACGATGAAAATTACAACAATTAAATCGTAACAAAAACATTATTTTTTCCCTTTTCTTGCTTAAAATCCCCTTTCCAGTACCTAACATTTTAAATAGGTTCATACCTACGCATTAAATTACTTCATCACGTTTTATAGTATAGGTATTATGTATCAGGTTTTATAAACCTAATTTATTTACGATTTTTATTAGGCATGAGCAAAGCTTACGAAAGAGTGTTTAATAAAAACGAGTGCCTATAGAAGTTTATAAAACGAGTTGCATACTATACTTTATCTACGACCAACACAAATAAGAATTTAAAGCCAATTTAATTTATAAATATTTGACATTTGACGAATTTAACCTCACTTTGCAGTTTATAATACAGCTAACTTCATCCCGTGACTAAAGTGCCCAAAAGTCACTGTTGTTAACTTCAGCCTGTGACTAAAACGACACAAAGTCACTGCTTGTCAATGTCAGAGTAGATAAAGGACTTAAAAGTTTATATTTATAACACATTATCCTTACAACACATATTTCTATATAATATATCGGCCATTTCAAGCGGATGGACGGGACAAATCACAAAACTGTTTTTATAAAAAAAATTGTAGCTAATTTATTATATATTATTTTTGTATCAAAATTGTCAAATATATTCTTTTATTATTAGGGTATACATTAAATAAAAAAAATCGCAAGAAATATTTTATAAAAGTAGAGATAATTTCAATAATTGACAGGGATGGACGGGACAAGATAAATCTTTTTTTGTCCCGTCCACACCTTTTAATTATTAAAATTATATCTACTTTCATAAAATATTTCTTGATTTTTTTTTTTATTTAATGTATAACCTAACAAAAGAAGAACATTTTTGACAATTTTGATACCAAAATATTATATAATAAATAATCTACAATTTTTTTTATAAAAACAGTTTTGTAATTCGTGCGTTTCGCGCGCTTGAAATGGCCGATATTTCTAAAAAAATAATTTATAAACATATTGGGGTCTTTTTGCTTTGTAACCTACAATTTAACAAAATGTAAGTTTCATTTGTTATGCATTTTATTACCACGTAAGAAAGCCGTTTTAACTAACTATATATAGGTAGTGTTATTAAAAATACTGCTATCCTATCTAGACGAACGACTGAACCACTATATCCTTGATAAAGTGCTCTTTCTTATGTAATTTAAAAAAACGCGGATAGAAGCATTGTTTTGATTTTTGGTATACATTTTTTGACACATCCATGCACAGCGGTCGGAATTCCCAAAAAGTTGGACAAAGGTATAAATTTCAAAGTCGCCGGTATATATTACAGAATTTAAAGAGTACCTCCCCTAAATAGTCAATAATTAATTTTTCAATATCAGTATTCAAAATTCCAATCGTAAAATAGTCGTATGTTATAATCGACTATTACGGTTAATTGCCAAAACAAAAATAGGCGCAGTTAAATCGTACACGTTGGATCACCAGTTGAAACGTAAGCAACTCATTTCGTTTTCGTTTTTTATTTTTGTGAAGAAGTTTTAAAAAAAGTTTGCCCTTGTTATCATAAAAGTTTAAAAAAAGTTAAGTTTCGTTGGTGAAAATATTATCAGATACATTTAGACGTGAATAATCTTCCATTATCCGTTAATAATGGGACATTTTGTTTTTTCCAAGAAATAAACAATATTGTTGTTCTTTTGTACACAGTTAACAAGTTATAAGGATTAACTATTACGTAACATTTTTCAATATCCACGGAACGAACTTGGAGATACGAGTGCAGACCCCAGGGAGATTAGCCTCCGCACATCCAATGCCCCAGGAGATGATTCCTGCAAGAAAGTATCGGCCGTCTTTGCCGCGGACTTGCAACGGACCTCCTGAGTCGCCTTGACAGGAATCCTGACCGCCTCCCTCGTGGCCGGCACACAGGAATATTTCAGGAATAAACTCGTGTCGTCCTGCACGCAGAAACATGCTCTTGCAGCGGTCGTTGCTCACTATTGGAACTTGAACCTACAAAAATGAGTAAAAAATAAAATCATAGGCAAAATAAAAGGTAAAACAAGCCAAATAAGCCTAAATGACAAACAGCTCAATCTTAAATGACAACTAACTAACTAAATTATGACAAACAAAAATAAGGTCAAGCCGAAATGTTAACATGTTAAAACATGCATATAGTCGCGGATTCAGGGGAAGTGTATTTGGCACATTGACATAAAAATAAAATATAAACAAGAATAAAAAATTATTTAAGGGATGAATTGAACATATATTCTTTTTTCTACTACCTTACTGGAAAACTTAATTTTCCGCCCACGAGCGAGGGAGGGAAATTCCTCTTTTCCTCCCCGGGAAGAACAATTTTACATTAGAAAGAGTTTTTGTACATTGTCTATCCCTATTTGATTTTTTAGGAAAAAGATTTAATCCGCGCTTGTCCAACCATTCTTTGAACAAACTACATAAATTTTCATATCGCTCTTTCGATTTTTAAGGAAGGAAATTAATTGCAACTATTCTGGCCTCTTCAGCAAGATCTTGCGGCAGGTCTTCTTCACTAGAATTCATTTTCAAAACGTAGGAAGAATTTCAAATTTATGATAAACATTCTGACAGCTTATAAAAACTGTTTTGTTGTATTATCAAAAATACCATAGCAACAAAGCATTGTCAACATAACGTCGGCGACGCAACACGTACTTAATATTTTGTCATAATTTTATAGCACCATACCGGGTTACTAAAAGGAACCGGAACGCTTAAAATGTCTTAAAACCGTTAAAAGGTAATAGAAAAAACTATATACATACCTCAGGAGGAAAATGCGTTTCCTCCCTTGAATATTTAATGCCCTTGAGTTTGAGTTGTGCGTCAATGTATACACTAGTAAGTACCTACGTACCTACGTACCTACGGTTAATGCGCTTTTGAGGGCCGGTTTATCAATGCTCAGTTAAAGCTGCAGTTAGTTATCTGGTGGATAATTACCATGGATACTATTGTTCTCACAACGATCGATATGAAATTTAACTGTCAGATAGACGTATCATAATCACTTTATTTAGCTAGTCAGTGTATGCAGGGAAGCTCAAAAGTTTGGAATATTGAGTGTAACTTTTGAAATATCGAAAATATACGAAGGCGTAGAAGGGCCAACAAAAATTTTACAAATTTTAGCCAAAACTAACTTTGATTTTTGCAATTTCTATTCTATAATTGTAACTTGAACCTACAATTGTAACTTGAACTTACAATTGTAACTTGAACCTACAATTGTAACTTGAACTTACAATTGTAACTTGAACCTACAATTGTAACTTGAACCTACAATTGTAACTTGAACTTACAATTGTAACTTGAACCTACAATTGTAACTTGAACTTAAAATTGTAACTTGAACTTACAATTGTAACTTGAACCTACAATTGTAACTTGAACTTACAATTGTAACTTGAACTTACAATTGTAACTTGAACCTACAATTGTAACTTGAACTTACAATTTTAACTTGAACCTTAGACTGGGCCAAAAAAATCAACTATTTTTTTTTTTTGAAAAGTAGGTATATCGAAAATATGGTATATTAAGGTCTATCATCGCAATTTTAATTTTTTTTTCCTCAGCAAGTTTTTGTCTCAGAACTCCCAAACCATTGAGTTTAACAAAATTGGCTCGAAAATATTATTTTAAGAAAATTAAATGCTCTAGAAAAAAGGTTAAAGTGAAATTTTCCGTCATATGGACCGTTTCCTGAAAATCATGCCTTAAAAATTGGTATACTTTTACATTTTGATCTTTTAAATTGAAATTTTGTAAAAATCAGTACCCATAAAAAACCGATAAATATTCTTATGGTAAATCAAATGCTTTACAAAAAAAGCCTCTTGACATTTTTGGCTAAATTCACTAAATCAAAAGTTATTCAAGGTTAAAATTTCGTTTTGACTTGAAATTTACCCTTGAATAACTTTTGATTGAGTGAATTCTGCCAAAAATGATAAAATACTTTTTTTGTAGAGCATTTGATTTTCCATAAGAATATTTATCGTTTTTTTTTCAGGGTACTGATTTTTACATTAATTACAATATTCCAGTGGCGGCTGGTGGATTTTATGTATACCAATATCTCAGTTATTAATATCTACTATAATTTATCGACAAATTTAAAATTTTATTTAAAAAATCCAAATATTACAGGTTTTATACCATTTTAATTATTTTTTTATTTTAATAAAATAAATTATAAAAATTTAAAATCGAATAAAATCTGTAATATTTGGATTTTTTAAATAAAATTTTAAATTTGTCGATAAATTATAGTAGATAATAAATTGCTCCACTTTAATTTGAATTATCTTAAATAGGGGGGCCTGGAGGCGGGTGAGGCGACAGGAAAAACTAATTTTTTTCGCAACTTCAATTTAAATTCTGTTTGAGCCGAACTTGTCTATTTAATGTCATTATAAACTATTATAAATTTGGTGTGGGTCCCATGTCTAATAACTGAAATATTGGTATACCCAAAATCCACCAGCCGCCACTGCAATATTCTAAAGTTAAAAGATCAAATTGTAAAACTAAACCAATTTTTAAGGCATGATTGTAAGAAAACGGTTCATCTGACGGGAAATTCCAATTAAACCTTTTTTGTAGAACATTCAATTTCTTCAAAAAATATTTTTAAGTCAATTTTGTTAAACTCAATGATTTGGGAGTTCTGAGACAAAGACTCGATTAGGAAAAAAAAATCTTAATATTAATAATATCGACTCAAACTTTAACAATAATTTTTTTTTGTCACCCCAAACCATATTTTCGATATACTTTTCAAAAAAAAATAGTTGATTTTTTTGGCCCAGTCTATTGCACCTACAATTGTAACTTGAACTTACAATTGTAACTTGAACTTACAATTGTAACTTGAACTTACAATTGTAGGTTCAAGTTACAATTGTAGGTTCAAGTTACAATTGTAAGTTCAAGTTACAATTGTAAGTTCAAGTTACAATTGTAGGTTCAAGTTACAATTGTAGGTTCAAGTTACAATTGTAGGTTCAAGTTACAATTGTAGGTTCAAGTTACAATTATAGAATAGAAATTGCAAAAATCAAAGTTAGTTTTGGCTAAAATTTGTAAAATTTTTGTTGGCCCTTCTACGCCTTCGTAAAAATATTAATAAATGATTTTAATGGAAGTTGTTTAATAATTTATTTTAAATTTTACGGTGATATTGCTAACTTAAACTTTTTTTAATTAAAACTCCCTTTTTATATCAAAATTTGAAGGGTCTATTTTTCTGATATAACGGTGTAATAAAATTGAACCGATTTAGGAATGATATCAGGTGGATGAGCGTTAATGTTAAAATTTTATATATTTGTATAAAAGTTTTTTGTTATAGTTTTTTTAGGCTTCACATCGTTTACCTGTAATTTATTTTTAATTCGGGATTCAGTACAATTTTCACATGTAATAGTATGCTAAAATTAAAATAAATAGCTACCGTTTTAAAAAACAATGCGTACTGATAGAATTGAAATTTTAATGATGGTTGGGTATGGTGACCGAAAAAGGACTCGGCAAGAAGGTGTGAAAAATAAGTCTAGAAGCGGTCGACCAAAATCTGCTGGAGATGTTGCCCTGAATGTGCTATTGCAAGTCCAGGAAGTATTAGTTATACGTCAGTGAGCAAAAATGCATCCCTATGCACCTTGCATTTATTGCAAAAATTAAGTGAGGACGATTTTCATCGTAGGGCTAAGTTTTGTAAAATTTTGATGGAACGTTGTAATCAGGATCTAATTTTCTCAAAAAAAAAATTTCGAATAGGGCCACATTCATGCTAAACGGTTTTGTTAACCGTCATAACTGCCGCTACTGGTCCCACCAAAACCCTCATTGGAAAGAGCAGACACACACACACAACATTAAATAGCTTAAAAAATTTGCCCTTTAGCCGGTTAGCCGTTAGATAATTAGCTGAGCTAAGCTAGATTAACCGGTTAAGCCGCCAGATAATTAGCTAAGCTAATTTAGTTAACCGGTTAAATTAGCTAAGCTGATCAGTTAGCTAGCTAATTAACTTAAGCTAACTTTTTTAGCTGGCTTAACCGGTTAAATTGTAGAGCCCTAAAGGATAACTATTTAATTAGACAAATTCGCTACAACACCCATGATTACGTGTGTTGTAGCGAATTTCGATATGGTTTTAGCAAGATCGAGCACTGCCTCATTACCGAATCAATGCCCGTCAGTACCTCAACCAGACCGGATAGGGAGACGAGGATCAATGTAATGGCCAACACGATTCCTTGATCCGACGTCATTATACTTCTTCCTATGGGGATATGTCAAAAGTTTTGAATACTAAACCAAACCCCTCGACTTAGCTGACTTAAGAAGACAATTAACGCTGGCGATTAGATCGGTCCCTCCTCAGATATTGAGTTACGTTAAAAGTAATTTCTATTTAAGATTAGGATCTTGCCAAGTGGTTCACGGCGAGCATTTTGAACATCTCCTACATTTTTTTGTTGTTTATAACTTATTAGTTTTTCAGTGTGTTGTAGCAAATTTCGGTAATCAAATTCATGGTTCTTTAATATTTCTGAAACATAAAATATATCTACAATTTGAAGAATAAAAAAAATTAAATAATATACATGGTGTTTGAAATAAGAAAGTTAGTATTGGCCACTGCTACAAGACACATCCGCAACTAAAAATACAATTAACCTGTCCGAGCCTTTTTTGGAACACGCATCCATTTATGTATTATCGAATTTATTCCATTTGGCTGATACAAAATGTATAATACAATAATTCATAATGGAGGTCCTGCCGAGTTGTCTGAGGAAATTCCACCAAAAAAAGCAAAAATACAAGGACAAGCTATATTATAGTAGTATTATTTATTTTGGAATATTTAATAACTACTATTTTTTTAATTATTACTTATACCTTACAGTACTGTTATAATAAAGTTAAATTAATTAAATCTCATACATTTTTAAATTCAATAAACAAATTACATTTATTTTGGATTTATGCACACTCAAATTTAAAAACACTTAAATTTAACATTATTTTTTTAATTACACGCAAATTTTTATTTTATATGGTCTGTTTGAAATTTAAGTGTAGTTAAAAATCATTTAGTTAAACATATGTACTTTAAATCATTAATCCTAAACCTGATACTTTGCTTAAAAATGGAGTGAGATAATTTAAAATTTATTTTTCTCAACGCCACAGCGCGCCGTGGCAATACTGTCCTTAACTTGTTCATAAAACTTTTTTAACAAATGTGCTTGAAAAACTTGCCTTCGGCTTGTCTTGCAAACTTTTAATGGGTCTATAAATTTAATTTTACTGTTGTCAACACTCGACACTAAAGTGATTGATTATGAACTAAGCACATAAAAATAATTTAGTCCAATCGGGTAGTAAATTCATTATTTACCGCGTTTGGAACAATTAAGGAGCATCCGTGCAAAACCGGCTAAATCCATTTTATTCACTTTTTGTTTTTTTTCTGATTTCGCATCTTTGGGTTCATTTCTATCGACAACCAAGATAAATGTGTTTAAATCCGACTATATCCATGTTAAAATCACATTTAAAAAGTAGCTTTAGGAGCAAAACCGGCCAAATCCACGTTTTTATAGCAAACCCGGCTATATCCAATAAATAATAATGATGGTGAGCATGTGGCTTGGATATATCGATACTACTACTAAAATTTCTTCTGTTTTTTCATGTTTGCACTAAATTTATTTTGTTAATATTTTTGAATAATAAAGGTTTTTATTATTATTATTATTATTTATTTTATTCGGTTTTTGAGCAAAACCGGCTATATACAAAACATTTTTGGAAATTTTGGCCTTAATATAAAGTTTTTGAATACGAAAGTACGTCTTATAAATCAAGTACCACAAAGCCAACAAAACTCAAGTTTGCTTTTTCTTTTATCTGTAAAGGCCAGGAAACCGAGAGTTTTTGCCATTTTATTAAAGTGGATATAGTCGGTTTTGCACGGATGCTCCTCAATTATAAAAACTGATCTGTCAGATCTATCTAACCGTACTTCCTACTTTTATTTATTGTACGTATAATTTTTGTTATTAATTTATAGATCGATTGAAGAAAAAATGTTGTAGGTCATTCGGCCAAAAAGGTATTTTTTATTTTATTGGGCTTTAAAAAACCACAGACCACCAAAACAAATGGACGGCGCATTGCCATTCAATAACAATGCTTTGTTTGCGGTCAACAAACGGTCACAGTCTAAGCGTCAAATTTGAGATAGAATTTTATGTTTTCTTCCAGAAATAATGTATTTAAACTCCATAATTAACTTAAACACGATAGAAATACACAAACTAAAGCACAAAACAACAAGCTGTCAACCCACAGAACATAACCTTTTTCTATGCTGTCAAATATGACGAATTTACCAACGTTGTTAATATTTAATTTTAATAATTATTAAATGATTTACTTTCTTTAAATAGAGAAAAATATCTAAAGAAAATGATGAACAAATCCTTTTTACAATTTTTTTATTATTCAAACGAATTACTGGTAATTATTAATGTTCATTATGTTATGATGAACGTCCAAAAAGGCGTGTAATTACAATTATAATCTATACTTCTGACAACGTTGGAAGCCGTGTTTCTTTCGACGGTGTTTAGAATGTGAAACTATGCTTTAGTCGCTTTTTAAACGTAAACAAATCCGTCCATTTGTTTTGGTGGTCTGTGAAAAAAACAGGTCCAGAAAACCGTCTCTATCTGCATGGAATCGTAAAAGCATGGAAGAAGCACGTGTTATAAAAAATGTTTTTCATACTGTTTCAAACATGTTTTTTTAGTGAAATCAAAACATATTATAACATATTTAAAATACTTGCACCGAAAAAACAAATCTGTTTTATTAACAAATAAATTTTTTGTTGCAAGTGTTGTTGTTGGTTCTAATAAGAAATTTGTTACCCGAAGTAAAGTATTAAACAAAAAACTGCAACAAAACTGAATTTTTTGGGAATTATTAGTTTACACTACTGACAAAATGCGTTGCCGCTAATATGTATCCTTAAGTTAAAGTAACAAATATATTTTTGTTGGCAATTCCCTCAAAAATTCGCCAATCAGAGTTGCTTTGTCAAGGATATTGTAGTGTTTGGGTTTCGATGCAGGGCAGTGGGTTTTTGATGTGAGAGTGCGTCAAAGCATCAAACATGGTCAAAGCATCAAACATTTTTTTGCTGCACCCAAATAAATAAGAAAGTAATTTTTTGTGTAATTTGTGCATTGTGCTGTGCATGATGGATGAAGCAGTGCAGTTATTATTAACAGAATGGGGATTTTCTTCGTTTCGGAAATACTTTTAAAGTTTTTTATAATATAATTCTACAGTCAAATTCGTAAATTGCTTTATAGGTAAGAACACTAAGTCTTATTACACATATAATTGTATTGTATTGTAGGACAAAAGGCAAAAATTTATAGAAACAAATAAATTATTATTTAAAACAAATGCAAAACTGTTTTAAGAACCAATAGATTATTAATTAAAACAAATACAAACTGTTTCAACTACAAAATATTATTGTATGTGATAACAAAAATATTATTTACTTCAAACTAAACGACTTTGTTTTGTCAACAGAAAATATAAGTTACAGTAAACAGATATGCTTCAACAAAAAAAACTTGTTCTTCCAACAAAGATTTTAGTTGAGGCTATAGCTAGAGATGCGACTTGAAAAAAAACGGTCAGTTTTTTTTGTTTTTTTTTTCAGGTTTTTTTTCATTGTTTTTTTCAAATGGTTTTTTTTTACATTTTAGGTTTTTTTAAGACTAGTCCCATTTGCCTAATTTTTTAGGTTTCATGGACTAAAATTAGCCACTAAATGACAATTAGTAAATGTAAATACAGTCTCGCGCTATGCACGCGCCACCACCACCGAATTGACCAATAAGGGCCGCGCTTGTTTTGATTTGGTCCTAAAAAAAGTAATTTCATATAATATTTTTGATTCAGCGCTTGATTTTTCAAAAAGCTACCAAAAGCACTTTTTCATGATTTTTCAAATTCATGTAGAGTATGGAATTTTTTGTTTCAAAAAAACAATAGCAAATTCTTGTAGAACATTTATTCATTGGTGGTAAAGTCAGAACATTCCGTGGACCAGAAAGCCAAAAATAATCCATTTTTTTATTAAGGTATTTGTTAGGATTGAGCGTTGCACATTTTTCATCTAAAAATCTCAAAACTAGAAACTTCAAGCTTCAAATTGCTTTTTTTACGGCTCCAATACGACCATTTTTAACAAATATACAGCTTTCCGAAGAATCGCAAAACAATTTGTTTTATCCTTTAATTTTTTGTATTTGTGTAGAAGTTTTACATTGCTCCTGGTTTCTAATGTGGAAACTACCAAATCTCGGTCAAAATTTTCAATGATGAAAAATTTAATTTATTCTACATTTCACTTTATTGTTAATACATATATTTTACTCAAAATTTCATTTTGAAAAAAAAAACAAAAAAAACCGTTTTTTTTCTAGGTTTTTTTTTCATGTTGTTTTTCACATCTGAAAAAAAAACGGTTTTTTTACATCTCTAGCTATAGCTACAAATAAATTTTTTTGGCGCAACTTTTTTTTAGTTGCCTGAACAAATTATTTTTTTCAGTGTAATAATTGTAACATATTAATCCGAATTAAAAACTTAATTGTCCTTATCAGATAATTAACGAACTTACTAACCTCTTGGAGCACAGACGGCAGCGTGCCGCCTTCGCTGAGCCGCCCCCAGCCCGTCACGGTTGCGTTCTCCCCTATCAACAGATCGTCGGAGGCGGGCAAGCAAATCGGCGAAATGTGTTTCGCAAACTCCAGTGGTTTATCCAGCTGCACGAGGGCCAAGTCGTATTCGTACGTGAAGAAGTTGTACTTCGGATGTACGACTTTTTTTGCTACAGCTCGTTCCACGTAGGGTAATTCTTCTTGAACTGAAGAGAAGTCGTATTCGCCAACTCGAATACGTATTTGGGATGTTAATAAACTGTGAAAATAATACATTTAAATTAAATGCAATACAATTCATATGTGTTTTTAAATGATTTGCTAATATGAGAGAGGTGATTTCATAAGTTTTTTATTTTAGAAAAACAAATAATTACGTTTATTTCCACTTTATGCGGCTTTTAAAGAGAAGCTTAATTCGCAAACATTAATTTAATTTAAACTAGTTTTAATTGATTAGGTTTAAGGATGCATACAATTTATAATTAACAAGGACCGGATTTTAGGCAAAATGCCTTTTCGTTTCTATTTCAGGCATTTGTTTGGGACCTTGATATTAATCCTAAAGTTAAAAAAATAAAGCGTTTGATTATTTTGCCTAGACGGCCTTGGCGAGTACGAGGACCACAAATTACAAAACTAGTGAAAATCTAATGAAAAACGTAATTGTGTTTTTGTTATATCTAAATATTTATTATAAATATTTATGGATAATATTAAGTTTGTAAAATAATGGTTAAACATTATTATTTACTTTGTTTTCATAGGTTTTATTGTAATTTCCATATATGTATTACGTTGTGTTAACCTGTTCTGTTTGTTTATTATTGTTTTTGTGTTCCGTTAATTTGTTTTGTTTGTGTTTTAGTTTGTGTCGTGCCATTTGCATTTACGGTGTAGCATATTTGGATGCAAGAAAAACCCTTTAAATAAAAACACGGGCTGGATGCTCCCGTGGACGAGTTTTGGTTGGTGCCGCGCATGACGTCCCTTGATAAGTAGTTGCCGTGCGAATACACGAATAATAGTAATATTATCAAAGAAAATAGAGAAATATCTGGACATAGTGCATTTTATTAAACTTAATATTAAAGAAAGTGTTATAATATGGATAATAGATTCTTTCAGTCCTGATAACATTAGGAGTTTAGTTTAAGAGTTGGTGTTTTAAATTTATCTTATAGTCACTGTCCAGAAAATGTTTAGAGGAAACAGAAGCGGTCTTAACGTTAATATTGTCTATTCTTTTTATGGCATTTAACCACTGTTTGCAAAAATCAAAGTTTTCGGGAATCGATGAAATTTGTTCTTATTTAAAGGGTTTTTCTTGGACTGGTTCTCCAAATTGCATACAAATATGCCACACCGTATTTTAATAAATGCAAATGGCACGACACAAACTAAAACACAAACAACACAAGTTTCAACGCAACACAAAAACAATAATAAACAAACAGAACAGGTTAACACAACGCAATAACAATAATTTGAACAATGAAAAGTAATTCGAACCTCACTAAACGCAAAAACAACAAGTTAAAAAAAATAGAACAAGTTAACATCCAACAGCATCGCAAAAACAAGAATTTTAGCAGCAGATAATTAAAGATTTAAAAATACTCAACGTGACGTATTTAAGCCCCGCCCAACATGCGTACATACACTTAAAGTGTATGTAGCAATTGTACCTTTTCATAACAACAAACAGTCATGCGCGGTCATCAATTATATTAGGACACGTCCTCAAGATCACATTGTAGTACTTACTTCCTTTCTCACTGAAACTGTTTGTTCAAAAAAATTGTTATTTGTGCCTTTTGGAGACAAGATTTCTTTTACTTTTTTAAAAATTCCTAGTCAAAATAACAGGGCCACCCTAGGCCCCCCCCGGGTCAGATGGCTAGTTACGCCAATGTTGAGTCCTATTTTTGTCACTTTGGGCCTAAAACGGCCTAAAATGTAGGCTTTTATTGCCTATTTATGTGTCCTAATTTCCAATTTTTAACAGCCTAAAATACTATTTTAGGCGGTTTAGGCCTATTTTTGGCATTTTAGGCCTAAAACAGCCTAAAATGTAGGTTTTCATTGACTATTTAAGTCTCCTAATTTCCGATTTTTAACGGCCTAAAATCCGGTCTTTGATAATTAAATATAAGCCAAAGTAATGGCATAAGCTAGAAGCTTATATTAATATTAATTATAATAAATAATACATCCATTATAGTATAATTATTTATAAATTGTTTTGATTATACTTGTAATTCCCACCAAACACAAGCTATTTTTTCTTTTAGACACGTAGACCACAACATTTTAACATTTTTTATCAAATGGGTACATCCTGATGCCAAAATGGTTTGTTGAATATTTAAAGAAGACTCTAAAGTTACCATTAAAAAACAAATATTGTTCGTATAAATATTAAATCCACTAAAATTTTGGAGACTGATCAATATTGAAGAATGGAATTTTGTGATACAGGAATGGTATGTGACAACGCAGATGAACATTTTATTAAAGATATTGTATTCACTGATGAATCTCCGTTGCCAATATGAAGTAAACGTATTCCCTCCACACTTTGCTATTAGTTCACTAAAAAGTGTTTGGGCTGGTATTTATATAAAATACGATGTTTCTGGCCTTGGGGCAAATTATACTTCAAATTTGATATATTTTTTTTTAAGCTGAGAATGTTTTACATAAAAAATGTAATTTTTACGTTGGGGTTACTTTTTGTTTAGATACAATTAAGTAATACAATAATTGTAACTCTGTCAATTTAACGTCAACTTGTTTCTATTTTTTCTTGATTTCAATGTTTTGGTAAGTTTTTTTATGAAATCAAACTGTATTTTACAAGAATATTAGCTGTATGCCCGCGGCTTTCCTCGTCTGGTTCCAAGAAAAAATAAGGGGTGATTTCAACATTAAACCAATCCACAAGCCACCAATCGAAACAAATAAAAAAAACAAAACATAAAATAAAAAAGTAATATATGTCAGTCCCTGGATCTCCACTCCAAATTTCACCAAAATCGGTTTAGCGGTTAAGGCGTGAAAGAGGAACAAGTAGAACAGAATTTGGCATTTATGTAAGGATGGATAATTTGTACGGTTTTTTATAGGTCAAACCTATATATAGGTTAATATGATTTTTACGTTTCTATAAGTTAGTTATATATAGCTATTTATATTTTAACAACTTTTTTTAAATGGGCTTGAACTACGATTTTATATTTATGTCAATTAAAAAAACGCACTTTTTTTTAAACAGAATATTGCGACAGCTTTAAATTTTGTCTACGCTAGACGATTTTCTTTTGTTAGTTGGGGCACCACCTAAACTAAAGACTGAAGACTTTTGTTTGGTTATAGGTAGGACAAAATAAAAATTCAAAAGAAGAATGTTGAACTCTGGAATATTTATTTGTAATATATCCACATAAATATGTGTTTATTAAGGGCCAGTTTTTCAATGTGATTTAATCCGAGGTTTAACTTAAAACCCCGAGTTAAATTTGGAGTTAACTAAATTCGCATTTTTCAATTCATTTTGATTCCCGAGTTTATATTAAACTCAGAGTTACTTTAATTCCCAGAAAGGGTATGTTAAGTAAGAATTAAAATAAAAAGAGATTATATATCGCTCTGTTCTGAGTGTTGTGTAAAGTGTTAATGTGGGACTATGATGTAAATGCCTATAGTAATGATGAAGAGAACTTTAGAAGACCAAAAGTTATTTGTCCAATAATAAATCATTTTGAAATGTGGGACAATATTGATTTTCTAACCAGATTTTGGTGGTCTCCAACAGGTGAAAAGTTTATTTAGCAAAAAGTATTCCAAGACGGCTCTTAGCGTATTGAGTCATAAATGTCATATTTTAATTTTCTCGTTGTAGAAATGATGCTTTAAAAAAAAAAAAAAATTTATAAACAAGTTGCAACACTTTTATTTTCAAACAATTTTCTTTCTGCAGTTTAACAAAACCAATTTTGTCTTGAATTAGCTGTTCGTTTAGGTTTAGGTTTGCGCCCCGTCAACGGCTGGGTAGTACCCATGACTTTCTTGCGATTTTTTAATTTTTTATGCATTTTACTTTCTTTTTAGCCGAAAAAAAAGTTGTAGATCGAGCCTTTTTTACAAAATCACATATAGCAGTTTTATTACACGACATCACTGCCTTCAAATAAATTACAGCACATTTTCCACTAAAGCAAAAAATAAACTCACCGTAATCTTAAAATTGTAATCAATAAATTTAATAATTTTATAATAATGATCACACTACCTTCGTGACATTCTTTTCTAAAGGTTTAAACCGAAAACAGAGTCAAAAATGAGGTTGGCGTGCAGCCGTTACCATGACAACGCATTACCAACCTTACAAATTTTATACAAACCTAGAGTTGATAAATCCTCACTATGATTGTAATTGAAAAACCCGAACGCGACCTAAACTCGGAGTTGACTTAAGTCAGAGATAAGCCAGAGTTATCCAACTCTGGATTTAACTAGCCTATTGAAAAACTGGCCCTAAGAATTCAAAAAAGGCTTTCGGCCAAAAAAATCTTTTTTAGAAACTACATTTTTCACTTTAATTAAATTTTTGACCGTCTTTCGTTACATTATAAATTAAAGAATGAATATTTGAATTAAAAATTTAAGAATTTTTACAAAAAACAGGACTGTTTGTACTTATACATATGAAACATTATTTACATCCAAAAATTCGAAAAATCATTCATAGGTACTTAATATTAGGAGATGAAATCTTTAGTGTAATGTAGAGAATTCCAATCTTAAAAAAATATATTTGGTGGAATGACTTATAGGTATATACTTTTTAATAGCTTCTCCTGAATATATATATATTTAAAACATCCTAAATATATATATTTAAAACATTATTATAGATAATTAAAACATTTTTTTTTGTTTCAATCCTAAATATTTATGCAACCACCTCATTTTATCTAAAATGACATCAGTTTATAAAATTTGTTTGATAAATTAAATAACTTACTCGTCCACGCAATGTCCAGCAGTTGCAATCCAATTTTCATTTAGAACTGCCCCTCCACATCGATGTGTACTAGAAAACCCAAAAAAGGATGTTCTACGTACTGAGACCTATAAAAAATAATAAAATAAATTATGAATGGCAACATTTTCTTTAATTAAAATTAAAATAAGTCTTTATAGCATCTTTATAATAGTATATTATGCATCAAGTTTAATAAACGCAATTTTAGTCACGAACTTTAATTAGGCACGAGCGAGCTTACGAGAGAATGTGTAATTAAATGAGTGTCTAAAAAAGTTTATATACAAGTTGCATACTATACTTTTTCTACGACAAATACTTATTATAATCTAAAAATAATTTAAATTAAATATTTTTATAGAGCGACATCTATAAAAATATAAAGTTACTTGCATAAGAATTTTTAATTACCGGCGCACCGGTCAAAATGTTAAATTTTTATGTGTAAATCGAAATTTATTCCTATTAAATGAACTAACTGAAATAGAAGCAGTTTTTCACAGTAGAAGTGAAGAGAATGTTTTATGGGCACTTCACGGTGAAGTCCACCAAAAAATTTTAATTTTTTAATGCTTTATTAGTTAAATCTAGTGAACTGCCGGCGAAATCAAAAGGTCAGTACAAACTTGCATTTAAACTTTGAAATAGGTAGTGGCGTTGAGATACTTTTTATTTCTGTACTGTTATAATTAAATAATTTTTACATTTAGTATCATTTTACAAGAAGGGTACGATTGTATGACATTTGACAACTGCCAGCTAACTTAAAACTAACTTCAGCCCGTGACTAAAACGCCATAAATCCACAACTTGTTAATGTGTATTTAAAAGGTAACCCATGGAAACATGTATGATAAAGGGCCTTTTAAAGGTGGGAGTAGAACAAAAATATTTTAAGTTAGGCTTTAGCTCCTAAACCATTTAAAATATTTCAGTGGAATAAAAACTATATAAAAAATAATAGTATAAAAAAATTACAATAATATAAAGTATGTTTTATGGGTGCACATTTTCTGGTATGAGTTTTAATTATATAATTAATACTTTGTGCCGATTGAAAACCCCGGTAAAAAAAAATTCAAATAAATATTTTATCCTCATAGCCCCAAATGGGGATAATACGGTTTAAAATCTCTACAATTTAACCTATAATAAGACAGTTTAAATTTATTGTTTTTACTGTTTCTCTGCCAAGTTTATTTACTTTGAAAAAATTTTTTCTTGACTATTTATTAACCGAATTTTAATTAAAATAAGTATTGAATAAATAATTGTAAATCCCACAAAAAATGCTATTTAAAATTGTGCTTTTTACAATTTTACAGTAAAAGGCTGAATTTTTAAGGGGAGCTTTTTCTAACAAAACAGCACTAAAAATAGAACACAGTACTTCATTACCACATATTTTAGTGTAAAAACATTTATTTATATATAAGAGAATGTCACGTATAGTCAGAAGAACAAGATACCTAAATCATTTCATTGGATTTATTTTTCTGTAGGTTAGTTTCTGGGATATAAAGGTTCAAAAATTGAATTTAATTTTTGTTATTTTATTGCTTTGGGACTATTTATTTGTATAAAATAAAAGACCACAATTGTGTAAAAAGGTTTTGAAAATAATAATTAGTCAAAAGGATTAATAATAAAAATTTGATAATTTTATGTTTAAATTTCAGATCGCATCTGACGAGTTTTGTTTTCATAACAACCGTTTTTATATGTAAATATTATAACGGTTTGGTTAAATACTTTTGTTTCATCCCCAAGTCCCGGAGTCAAATGGACGGACGTGTATTAGAATATGTAATAAGATGGATGGTATTGCTTTTACTTTTTCTTCTATCCAATACAGTAAATAATTTATTTTAAAATAAAAAGTATAAGAGTTATCTACCTGCCATGGCCACCTTCCAAAAGGGGCATTTTTTCCTCCAACAATTCTTGTCTGTGGTTGAGAATGCATCTGCGGAACTCCACATACTAAAATTGGAAATAATCTTTGGTTGAATGTTTTAAAATATTATTCAGACTTTGTTTTTAAAAAGTGTGAGTATTTCGTTACAAAAACAATCTTGTTAATTGCTGTTTTTGCTTGAAACTGAGAAAAATAGAACCCCTATGTATTAGCATCATCAACGTTTTTAGCGCATTTCTTTTGTGAGAGTGAATTTGTTGCATTTAAAAATTATAATGTTTTGTAGATGTTCAACGCAACCTTGTTTTAAACAATATACAATCCAAACAGTAGTCACATAATACAATAATTGAAGTGTTAAAAAACTGAACCGAACATAACTTTAAAGCGACAAGTGTGTTTTTGTTAAAATGCAATGGTGTTTTTTTCTAAAATTTGTTATAATTACTAGAATAAAGAATCTGGAATAACCTTTCACAGCTAAAATAAACTTTTATTGGTAACCTAACCTTTTATAGGTAAAAATCAATATTAAAATGATTTAATCCGTATGACCTCATTTATAATAAAATTATGCATGAAACTGTTTGGTTCAGTTTTTAATCTTTCAACGTTCTGATTTGTCTAAGAGTACCAACAAAATAAAAAAAACTTACTTTTTAGTGGGTTTTTCGATAATGGTAGTTTTTTTTATTATTTTCTATAAGTTCTGTTCGTTTTAAAATTATCTCCCTGTATGTATATAGTATGTAAAAATATGTCCAGAAAGTCTTCACTTATATTAAAAATAACTTCAATACCTCAACTTTATTTTTTTTTTCGTAGCGATGTTATTAATATCAAGTATACTTGATATATGGAAGAACGTTTTATTTCCCACGATTGTTTAATGTCTCGCTCTCAGAATCACTTTTTATGAGTAAAAGATAATTTCTAATAGCTTGTCACGCGCGTTTGACAATCACGTGACATTAAGAAGAGTTATTTATGTCATAAGGCTGAGAAGTATACTTATAAAGACTTATAAGTCTTTTGTGCTCAGCACAATGTGTTGAGCTCAACGTTTGAAGTCAAACGCGTTAGTGGAGGCTTACAATTGAGCGGAGCACAAAAAGACCCGTCTCAGCCGCAGGGTCGGTCCGAGCTACAGGCGAACCTGGCAACGACCCAGAGTGGCATAATGGGGGGGCATTTTGTATATATATTTATATATATTTTGTATGTATAACTTGTGACTTATTTTTATTTATTGGACATTTCTAATAATAAACCATTAAACTGTTTAAAATAATATTTTAAAAAAACATTAATCGAATAAAATAATCATTCCCTGTGCTGCATCAAAGTTTAAGGTGTACGTCCTTATTTTACCAGGACAACTTAAGCAAATGAAAATATTTTTCTTCTTTAGTTGGCACATCATTTAAGTTTATTTCTATTATAATAGAATGTATAATGTATACATTTTACGACGAATAAATTGGTTAAGTAGGGAGTTAATTTAAATGCTGTATTTTTAACACAATTTTAAATGTCACAGAAAGTTTTTGGAAGTTTACTAATGGTACAAGGTATCCAAAAAGGTTTTTGCGATTTTTGGTTATATTTATTAAGAACCATTAGTGGGAGTGGAAGTGTCAGACTGGTTGCAAAAAAAGCGTGATTCTTGGAATATCAGTATCCATAAAGCGATACATGGAATCTTCTTCGGGGTTTTCTATGACGGCCCATCATAAGGTAACTAGGTATCCGGATTTGCCATTTTAATTTTTCTGAATTTTTAAGATGAAAAAATTTAGAATAAGTGTTTAATTTTCCTATTAAATTACTTAAAATTAGGACTTAAGTATTAAATCAGTGTTAAATCTTTATTAAACTGGATAGAACCAGTCCAACTAGTTAATCCTTTTGCTGTGATGCATATGACATGAGGTCTAAGAAAAAGTTTCTGGTGAACAAGTCTGATGAGCTTTGTAGCCAAAAAATAAACACATCGGGATATATTCTATTGATCTATTGTGTAAAAATATATTTTTTCAAATCTTAAATAATTGTTTTCTCACCTTGATTTTTCACACTCAAAACGGAAACAATACTGCTAAAAGTGGAAGTTTGTGGTAAACTTGGTTCAGATGTTGTGGAAACTTCCTGATTATTAAGTAGACTTATTTGTTCTGCTGGTCTGAAAATTTAATCACTGGTTTATCTAATATTAATAATTTAAAATAAGAAGTTTAGTACAAAACAAAAAACTAAAGTTCTTTATTGGTTTTTAAAGTTTATCTTGCTGTAGTAGTTGTTAATAATAAAAATTATGAAATAGTAAACATTTTAAATAAAGAAACTGACTGAAAAACTTATCGATTACTTTCAGTAAAAAGAGGTAGGTACTCAAAAAAAACATTTTAGTTGAAACATTATTTTACAGTCAAAATTTGCTAAAACCCGCCTCTAAAATATTTTTTCTTTTATGGCCTTATTTCGTTTTTGTTGGTATAAATAATAAAGTAATATTAATTATAATCAGTGCTATCTTAACACTGATTATAATTTATATATTTTGTTAGCGCGTTTTATATGTGAATTTTTTTATTTATAAGATTTTATGTGTACCTAAATCGAAATGCATCCCTTGAAAATGGACCGTTTAATTTAATATGGAAGCAGTTTTTCACAGTGAAAGTAAAGAAAATGTATTATGGACACTCCACAGTGGAGTCTCCACCCGAAATTAAGTTAAATCTAGTTTACTGCCGGCGAAATTAAAAGGTAAGTACAATGTCCATTTAAACTTTTTAATTATTGGCGTTGAAAAATTATTTTATATTCTTGTATTTTATGTATTGCGGTAATAAAATAACTTTCACATTTTTAATATTTTACATGAATGGCACCTAATTTTAAGGGATTGTATGACGAACTAACTTCAGCCCGTGACTAAATACCTTTTTCTAACTTCACACTTATTGGCATAAATTTAGGAATAGATTGAGCAAGTCAAAATAAGACGAAAATCTAAATAAATATTTTTCCTAATTACTTATGTTTCCAAGATACAGTCACTTACTACCAAAACACATAAACACAAATAATTACAATTGTTTTAGTGAACACAGTGTCGTAGAAACGGGGGTAGCTTTAAGCTTATTGTCCCATACAAACTTTGAGGTTAGGTTTTTATAAAATTTGATGCAATTTTTCGATTACTCAGTTCGGCTACTATTAAAAAGGTGTACCCCTCAAACTTCGATAAAATTAACCGTTTCCGAGATATTCGAGATTTCAATAATTGTTATATCGCATTATTTAAAAAAATTGAAAGGTATATGATAACAAATTTTATTTTTTAATTGAAAAAACTAAAAAGGGCATTCCGTGAGCCTCGGTATTTTTAGCCCTGACCGTCACATTAAACAAAAATTGTAGTTTTTTCAATTAAAAAAAATGTTGTAATTTTAGTCCTTTAATGCGATATAACAATTATTGTAATCTCGAATATCTCGGAAACGGTTTATTTTATCGAAGTTTTTTAATAGTAGCCGAACTGAGTAATCCAAAAATTGCATCAAATGGTATAAAAACCTAACCTCAAAGTTTATATGGGACAAAAAGCTTAAGCAACCCCTGTTTCTACGACACTGCGCTCACTCGAACAATTGTAATTATTTGTGAATATGTGTTTTGGGAGTAAGTGACTGTTCGCAAAATATCACCTTTCCAAGTCTACCATAGTAGAAGTTATATTAAAAAAACTGATATCATAAGTAACACTTTATCACCCTGTATCTTTTAAACATACGCATTTAGGAAAAATATTTATTTAGATTTTCGTCTTATTTTGACTTGCTTAATCTGCTCCAAAATTTATGCCACTCAGTTTAGGGACACCTTGTATATTTATAAGTGTAACAATTATTACTATTAAAAGTCAGATTAACTACTTTAAATTATACTAGGGGCAAAAAATAGGGTATATTGGATTTTTAACATTATTATCGAATAATTTTAAATAGTTTCTTGTTTAGAAATATAACAGGGTTTTGCTAGGGTTTATAAACATTGAAAATGTAGCTCATTACTGAATTATACTTATAAAAAGTATAATTTAGGATTAAACTTTTTCATAAACATTTTCATTTTATTCTAACTAATCTTTAATATATATATATCCTATGTTTTGCTGGCAGTTTATTTATTCAAACTTGTTGGCATTAAATTTGTATAGTATCATCTAGCTATAAAACATTAGCTTACTTTTTGGTAGAGGTAGTATTCTTCGCATTGAACTTGGTGGTGTTTTTAATAGTAGAAATCTGTATCGGTTTTTTTGTAGGTTTCGGTTTCGGCCTGAAGCTCGTCGGTTTCGCTTTTACCCTCGTCACAAACCCAGGCTCTGTAGTGAACTGCCATTGGGCATTCGGTTTCTGCTCATTCTAAAATGTTTAAATAATGTTAAATGTTTAAATAATACATGCAAAATAAATATGTAGTATGTAAAATATTTTCAAAATCTATACAAAAGTAAATTTTAGAGTGTGTGGTTAAATGGATTTTAAGAGGATCCCGAATAGCAGAAGTGGCTTTTAAGAAATAAGTGGCTTTTAACAATATTCCATAGTCTACCTTATTTTTAAAATACATTTAAAAACACTCCTGTAAAACATTTTTTGTTCTGAAATTGCATAAAATATTAGGGCAAAAAACAGTTTATGAAAATTATAATATAGGGTTTTAATAAAGGGTTTTCCAATTGGGGCGGGTCGAAGTTGGCGGGCTATGTCGGCCATGTTATTTTGGCGACATTTGTTTAACCCGTTGTTAATTATTCAGTCACTAATTCCAAATCACCATGGCAAGTTACACGATTGAACAGCACGTCCAAATGATAAAACTTTATTATCAAAATGAGTGTTCGTTAGTGAAAACTTTGCGCGCATTGCGCTCATTTTACGGCAGGCCCTTCAAAGTCGACTCTCCAACGTTTGGTGAATAAACTCGAATCCACTGGTTCATTAAACAATCAGCCAACACCCTTACGTCAAAGAAACGTCAGATCGGACGAGAACATCGTTGTTCGTGTGCAGGAGAATCCGAGGCAGTCAATTCCTCGCCGTGCACAAGAACTTGGCCTTTCGCAGACTTCAACTTGGCGAATATTGCGTAAGGACTTGGGCCTGCACCCGTACAAAATTCAATTGACCCAGGAGCTCAAAGTTCATGACCACAGAAAACGCCGTTTGTTCGCTGACTGGGCTTCGCAGCGTTTGGAAGAGGACCCCAATTTTGTCCGAAAAATCATTTTTAGCGACGAGGCGCATTTTTGGATGAATGGCTATGCAACCAAGCAAAATTGCCGTTTATGGAACGACGCGAACCCCCACGAGGTTCACCAGGTGGCAATGCATCCACAAAAAGTTACCGTTTGGTGCGGACTTTGGGCCGGCGGCGTCATTGGTCCGTACTTTTTCGAAAACGACGTTGGTGAGGCGATCACCGTTAATGGCAAACCGCTACAGAATGATGATAACAGACTTCTTGTGGCCAAAATTGAACGCTATGGACGTGAACGACATGTGGTTCCAGCAGGACGGCGCTACGTGCCACACAGCGGACGCCACTATGAACCTTCTGCGTGAACGATTTGATGGTATGGTTATCTCCTGCAGAGCTGGACTTCTTTTTGTGGGGTTTTCTGAAGTGACAGGTCTATGCCAATAAGCCGCAATCGACCGATGCGCTTAAAGCTAACATAACCCAGGCAATCGCTGAAATTCAGCCGGATCTATGCGGCAGAGTCATTGAAAATTGGACCACTCGAATTCGTGCCACCGTGAGAAGCCGCGGAGGACATTTGAACGATGTCATATTCCATAAATAATGGCATACATAGGCCTTTCAAATAAAATATAATTTTGTTGATTCCTCACACACAGCTTGTTTTATTTAATTTTAACATCGACCCGCTTATTGGAAAACCCTTTATTATAATATTACATTTTATAAACTCTACCTCTAGTGTAGTGTAATGTGGTGTAACTGCTAACGTTATAATCTTGGGATTATGGAAACATAATATGATTAGGATTATGGAAACATAATATGACCTATTTTTGTCAAATTTTATCATCAAAATATTAAAATGTGTTGTTCTTTATGTGGAACTTTTGAAACTATTTGTATTTTGGTTACTGATAAAATAAAAACCAAATAAATATTTTTTTAAGCGAACAATAATTTTGATATTAAAATATTCATAAGTTTATATAAAATAACTTCATATTAATAATAATAAAGCTAAAATGTCATCATTTTTAACCCAATTTAAAATCATTGTGACAGAGTTTTAAAAAAATATTTAATTAAATGCTTGAAAAAATAATAGTACAGTGGCAGACACGGAATTTTGAACGTCATAATTTGGTTGACCATGTATAAATCTGTAAATAGCAAAGATACAATATTGACTTTTTTGATTTTTCTGCCAAAATGACAAATCTAGTGATAACCAGAAGTAATTACCTTAAAGTAAAGAAAGTCTCAACGGGATTATAGTCGTTCAAAATTCCGTGTCCGCCACTGTACCTATATAAGACCCGGCAGCGAAAGCTTATTATTTGCCTCGCACACAATCTATTGCCACGGCTGTCGCCTCGGTAAAATGTATACTCGGCCATAATATGTGCTTTCTCCGCCTGGTCTATAATGTACTATTCTATCAAGAACATTTCTCAAAAGAAATTCTATTATATATAATATATGCCGTATTCCAAACTTGTTATAGAGTATACTTACCTACTATTCTTTACAATTTTTAAGATATACTGAAACGAAGATTTTATGTGATTTATTTATAACTTTTAAAACTATGTGTATTTTGGTTACTTCTGAAATAAAAACTGTTTGTACTTTGAAAAATAAAGGTACATTGAAAAATAAATACAATTGTATACAATATACAAACATTTATTTCAGTTTTTATCTCATAAGTAACCAAAATACACATAGTTTTAAAAGTTATAAATAAATGACATAAAATCTACGTTTAAGTAAATCTTAAAAATAGTAAAGAATATTAGGTATATCTATAACAAGTTTGGAATACGGCATATTCCGCTCGAGTAAAAAGTTTCACGAGAGCGGAATATGCAATTCCAAATGTGTTTCAAACTATAATTTTTTGTAGGTTTACAAAAAATACAATAGAAAAATAATTTAATTTGGAGAAATTAAGTTTGGATCGGTCTAAAAGTGGTTATATAAAAACACAGAGATGGCGCCACCAGTGTTTATTTTGTCATCCGATGATAGCATAATTCGTTTTGTAACACTTTAAAGAATATATGTAATTCTACATTAAAAAGTAATGTTAGAACGACCATATTCCGTAATAGGGGTGGAAAAAAGTACTTTTATGGTTAGAACTCGGGTTAGAAAGTCTATCTGACAGATATCAAATTTTATGTTAGTATGCGATGGGCGACTATAATGATCTTAGTATGATATTTTTTATTTTATTAAATAATGCTTTTATATGAACATGGCCGCGCCCTGAAAATTTACGAAATTTACCAACTAACAGCGTCTTCAATGCGTAAGAAAAGTTCACTTATAGAACATTTCTTTATTATGGATTGAGGAGGTTATTTGACTGACAGATATTGTATTTCATGTTTGAACTTTATTTTGTAACTAAAATAACATTTTTAAGGAGGTTCGGGCACGATATTAGTCGCTATGATATAGAAATAGAATGTCTAGGTTGTAGTAGACATTTAGAAAGTTTTAGAAAGATTGACCGTCTGGTTTTCAATTAAAAAAATAATTAAAGTTGCTAAGAATAAACTATTACAACCAATTCTTTAACAGAAGTTGTGGGCTACATTTTTTCAAAAATGTATCGCAATTTCACCAATTGCCTATCAAATATTATCTTTCAACTGTAAAAGCGCTTGTGAATTATTTTCATAGACTTTGCTTTTCAAATTATCCCAAAGAAAAATACCAAACGGTGTTAAGTCGCACGATCCCGATGGCCAATTGATGTCGCCATTTTGAGAGATAACACAAATGCAGCTGGAAATGTGGTGACAGTGAATGGTGATCGTTATCGTAAAATATTAAGACACTTTTTATGGCATGATTTGGATCCATCGATTTGAAAAACATTTGATATTAACAAGATAGTATCATATCTCACACAGCGAATAAAACAATCGTTTTATTTCGGTCTTAATTTCCTGGTCGTGTTATATCTCTAAATGGCGTCATCAGTTGGCGACCGTGATCGTGCGACTTCACAGCACTTTTTTCTTTTGGGTAATTTAAAAAGCAAAGTCTACGCTAACAATCCACAAACGCTTTCACAATACAATATTCAACGAGCTATTTGTGAAATTAAAATACCTATACATATATCTATTTATGTGAAAATATAGTCCAAAACTTTGGTAAAAGAATGGTTTCCTGTCCAAGAAGACAAGGAGTTCATTTTGCAGATATTGTATTTGATGTTTAATGTATCGAGAAGTTTAAATTACACCTCAGAGGAACTACTAGTATACTATTTGCCCTTGATAAGGGAATATTACTATATTTTTAAATACCTATAGGTATACATAATTAATTTTTAACCAAACTGTCGTTTTGTTTTAACTCATTCGAAGTTAAATTTCTGCTGTTTTTTGACTAAATATAAAAATTTAACTAATTTAAAAATGTACAAATTACCTGAATCGAATTATGGTTTAGAGATGTGATAAATCCTGGTTCTGTGGTCGATTGCCACCCAGGTTTTGTGTAGGTGCCTATGTTGATGCTGCTGGCCACCGCCAAGGCATCTGTACTCATCGGTCGGATGCTGTGTCGAGGAGGTTGAAAATTGTTCATAGATGTCTCCACTGTCTGCGGACGGAGAGGTGTAGTCGTTACTGAGTTATATTTCGTAGATTGTTGACTTAGTTGAATTTGACTGAAATTTAAGAATTTAAAAAATAAATTGTAGGTAGTCACGATATTACAAGATAATTACAACACAAAAATAAATACAATACAGCATGTTTCACTGAAACCGCAAATTGATTCAATTATCCTAATTTTGTATACACTACAGAAGCATGATTGTTATTGTAACGTGAAAAATAACTGGTTTTAAAATTAAATTACATGATGTCGAGTTGGAAAATTATACCCGTTTCAATAGCGCATTTATTACTAATTTTAGGTTCCAATTGAGTGGCCATTATATTTTTGCAAGGAACGGCTTCTTTAAGTAGGTATGCTCTATAATTATTTTGGAGAATACAATATGAATAATTGCAAACTTTTGTAGGTAAAATATTTATACAGGGTGAGTTTTAAGTTTCAAGTAACTTTTTTATCAACTCGAAAATAAGATATTAATAGCCTTTTAAAGCTTTTCCCGTGTTCACCGGGTATTTAAGAACAAAAATTTGCACCCTCACAAAAATCCAACCGATTTAGATCCGGCGATCTTGACGGCCACTGGCACTGGTTAGGAAACAGTTCATTTTAAAATGCCATTGAATGCATTAAAATTGAAGCAATCTTAATTGTTATTTGCCCAATTAATTACTATTAAACCAAAATAGGGAAATATTTTGACTAAATGTCAAAGAATTTATTGCGTTAAATGTATACATTGTATACATACTATAGTAACGTTATTAAATAAATCAAATTATTATTTAATGCAATAACATCAAATGAAAATAAATATAAATAGATTTAGGAGCGATAACTTTCGTTGTTAATTTAAAAACAGTAAACGATTATAAACCAAGGTAGTTAACCTATTGGTATTATATAATATAGGAACTGTTATTCAGGAATACGGATTACAAGATCCCATTGATTTAAATGGTCACCCATTCATGCTATGCTAGCGTTTTTTCTGTGTGGTCTAACTTCATGCCTAAAATGAGGAGGCCCCCCATCGTGCAATAACTACATGTTGCGTATTACATTTTCAGGTGCATCTATCAGCAAAACAGGAAGAATCTCTTTCAAACAATAAAGGTAGTCGTCGCCAAATATCATGCTATTTAAAAAGTTATTATTGTTGGCATTTTGCTCAAAAAGCCAGTTTCAAAAACTGACCATGCGTGGACAATTTTCTGGCTTCACAGCTTTGACGCTTTGAACTGGATATGGATAAAGCTGATTTTCTTGCAGAGTTTTACAAACTTTCGTCCGACTTACTTGCAACTGGAACGCGATTACACAAGTACTTGTCGTTGAATCCTCATGCACTAAATTTAGAATGTGTTCCTCCGATGAAAATTTCTGGGGTGCCTCGATCCTCCTTTAAACAGCATTAAAAAATGCCTGAGGGTGCAGACAATGACAGTTAGGAAAATTTTTGGAAACAAAATTTGAAAGGATATTTCTCTCTTATTTTTAGGTATTAATTAAAAAGTAGCTTCAAATATTTGTTGGTGTATTTAGGTTTTACACGCTCTTAAAAAAATCGTTAACTCTAAACTCATTATGTAATCTCTTTTAAACAGATAACATGTTAAACGTATCTAACTTCTTTAGATAGTGACTGAATATCTTAGATTCTTTTAAGGGTAGCATTTCTAGATTAAAATTTGCAACCGCCTTTACAACTGCCTCCTAAAATATTTCTTTAAGCTTAGAAAAAAACACACTTATAATAGTCTATCTATAAATAGCAGTAGTGTTCTTAAGTATATCCGGAATTTATTAAGTTTTATGAAAAACAGGTAAGCTCAAGATTTCAGTCTGTGTCTGAGTACTTATTAATAGGCCATATCCTTCTTATTTTATCACATAAAATATTATTACTTATTATAAATACACTTAATCACTTTATCTAAAATTATACCGAACTATGGAGATACCATTTGTAATATTAGAATTACACTTAATGAATAAAATATATTTTTATTTATAATCGCAGCTCTAAAATACTATTGCGAAATTTAAATATCCTACTTATTATTTTTGCAATATTATATAATGCTAATTTAACTTTAAATTTACTTTTTATAGTTTGGTATTTCTGACCAAAAATATTTTTTTTCTTAATTCTTAATGTTAAATTATCATTTTGGATATATATTTTTTTCATTTAGACATCCTTTTTTAGAGGACAGGTTTCCTTTATAGATGATGCTATTTTTTCCTTATCTTTTATTTTTTTACCTTAATCAATTGTTTAGTTTCTATTTTGTAAATAATACAATTTGTTCGGACAAGCACTTTTGTTAGAGTAGCTTGATATATTTCCATTTATTACAGTCGCATTTGTCCAATATATTATGAAACTATATTACAAGTTCTGTTTTATACCTCTTAATTAAAAAAATAGTGCATTAGATATCGAATGATGAAAGGCGCCAATTTCTGAAAAGAGTGACACACTCTTTATGACACTATTGATGACAAACACAAATTCTAATTGTGCTGTTTTTTAAGAGATAGCGAGAGAAAAATCGTTAATATTTCTGCGTTTTTGCATAAACAAAAGTTTAGTGGTACATAAAAAAATAAAACAGTAGTATTTATGTGCCCTAATATTAATAAAATGTCAAGGTCAATTTACTATTTAAAATCATACAATTTCTAATAAAACCGCAAGGGTGCCAATTTGACAACATCAGTCATTACTTTTTTCTTATCAATGAATAGTGCCAGGAACTATACTGCCGTGCTAAGCTAAACCCCCGTATCTGCAATATTAAATAATAATGGACAAAAGATAGTTTTTATAGTTTTAACAATGAAAATGACCTTTTGTCCTTTAATACTTAATATTGTACATACGGGGGTTTGGCTTAACAGGGCAGTATAATGAGGAATATTCTGCACATTAAATTTTATTTTTAATAGTTTATTAAGTGGATTACTGTTCTGCGCATCAATGGTTACTGTTTTATTTTGTCCGAGTACCAACCTAAAAATAATTAAAGAAATTAACTTTTGCGTTTACACCTATTTTTTTCATCGAAGGCAACAAAATTCGAATTTTTGCTGCACGTGTCAGGAAAAATAATTTATTGGACTAAAATTAAAGCACATGTGCTTTAACCTGTGCTTTAACCTGCAGGTTTTATCATATATTATATCACGAGAACTATGAATTTAATCGGTTAAACTAGGCTCAGTAGTTTTTTGTTTGGTTTTTCTTAGAAAATGTTGAATGCAAAATAATTTAATAAAATCACGAGACCGCTAAGCGGTCGTGGGGTTTTATTTTTATTTATTTTGCATGAAACTATTTTTCAAAAAGAAAAATCAAATAAAAAACTTACTGAGCATAGTTTGACAGATTAAATTTATAGGTTGAGTGATATACGTCTAGATTATTTCTCGAATTAAAGGAAACTATTTGACAATTCATAAAATCTGACGTGTGTCAAAATTTATTAATATTTTTTTAAAGAAAATTCCATTAATTTAAGGTATGTAATAAGTAATAATTGATATTTCGTAAACTAGATAACTTATTTTTTATTGTTTTTTAAAAAATGTTTGTTAAAACTTGTAAATAACACCATAAAATCGTAAACAACAATCCAATATGCAGGCTAAAATTTAATCGCTGTTAAATAGTTCTAGTGATTTAATCGCTTATTTAAACGAAATTTATTCGAAAATTCAAGGCTTTTAATTTCATAAAACATTAAACTTTTAAAGGCGTTATTCATAATATGATATAATATAATATAATATTATTAAGTGCTTATTTATTAAAAATGAAAATGGACGGATATAAAAATCTTTAATTACAGGGTGTTATGTAATTAATGTTATATATTAAAATGGGTTGTTCCTTAGGGTCCATAAAGAAGCACCTGAAACTTTTTTTTTTCTAAATTCCAAAGTCTAAAAATAATTTATAATAACCTTTATCCTACCAAAAAGTACGCCACTGATAGACTAGGAACTTTAGGTTAATCTGGTGGATTTATTATGTTATGGTTGGTAACAACAGTATTTCCAAAATCTCTCAAAAAAGTTAACAAACATTGTTTAAATTTAGCTTAATTACAAAAATGACAAAATTAACAATGCAAATTGTCAATTTGGCGTTTTTATTAATTGTTGGTTATTTCATTTTTGTACTGAAGGTAAATTCAAACAAAATCTGCCAACTTTTATGATAGAATCTAGTGCATTTCTTTTAAATTTTAGGTTATGTTTTCAAATTGTAAATTTCTTAACTAAGGGAAGTGCTTTTGGATTTATTTACACAAATTAAATGTTTAAAGTTTAACCTGTGAACTGGTCCCAATTTCATCTGAGTAAACAGAGAAAAAAACTGATGAAAAAATTAATTTTGTGGTTATGGATTTCAAATTTCAAAGGTACTAAATTTTCTAATCATTGCTTAAGCTAATAGCTGGATCAGTAAATAAATACAGAAGGGTATTTGAGCTTTAAGGGCATAAAACTTTTGTATTTATTGAGTTTTTATTTATTTTTTGCAAGAAAAATTTTTAGTAACAATTTTTTACATTTGGCAACGCATAGCTACTTTGTTGGTTGGTATCTATGTACAGGGTGGTCCACGTAAGGTGACCCATATACTTATCTCAGAAACTACTGGGGTCACAAAAAAATTGTAAGAAACAAATATTCACGAAGTAAAAAATATTTTTAAAATATTATATTTTCATTTATACAGGGTGTTCCGTTTTCCTTGGGACGATACCAACTTTCTTATTTTCAATGGAACACCCTGTATTTTTTTGCATTTTTGGATTCTACCCACTCTTTTAGGTATACTTTGTAAATATATTAATTAAGAAAATGTTAATACTTTTTGAGTAAAATTAAGATTTATTAAAAATTCTCTAAATGTAGACACTCGCTAAAAGTTAAAAATAATCAACTAAAAGTTATTATTTTTTATATTATGTAGTATCCATCTCTTTAATAATAAGTAAGCTATAAGTTAATTATTATATTTTTTGGAAAATATCATACAGGGTGTTTTCTATGTCCCGTTGAAAATAGCGATTTTAAAAGTTTAAAATCTTGTTTTTCTTCAATGGAACACCCTAAATATTTTTGCATAATTGGATATAATAAGTAACTACCTTTCATTTTATATATATATATGTCCTATACCTAAACCTAACAGAAAAAAAAATATTCGCATTTTTCACAATTACTAGCTTTTTTCCAATTACCTTAGTTAAATTTTCATTATTCAAATAAATAAATTTCAATAACAACAAATAAAAATGCTTTTATATATAAATATATATTACTATAATTATTATTATAATTACCATATGCGCAAAGCTACTAATTTTATAAAATGCGAATATTTTTTTTAGGTGATCCACGTAAGGTGACCCATATACATATCTCAGAAACTACTGGAGTCAAAAAAAATTTGTAAGAAACAAATATTCACGAAGTAAAAAATATTTTTAAAAAATTATATTTTCATTTATACAGGGTGTTCGGTTTTCCTTGGGACGATACCAACTTTCTTATTTTCAATGAAACACCCTATATTTTTTTGCATTTTTGGATTCTACACATTCTTTTAGGTATACTTTGTAAATATATTAATTAAGAAAATGTTATTACTTTTTGAGTAAAATGAGGATTTATTAAAATTTCTCTAAATGTAGACATTCGCTAAATTAACCAACTAAAAGTTATTATTTTTTATATTATGTAGCATTCATCTCTTTAATAATAAGTAAGCTATAAGTTAATTAATTTATTTTTTTGGAAAATATTATACAGGGTCTTTTCTTTGAATAATGAAAATTTAACTAAGGTAATTGGAAAAAAGCTACTAATTGTGAAAAATGCGAATATTTTTTTTTCTGTTAGGTTTAGGTATAGGACATATATATATAAAATGAAAGGTAATTACTTATTCTATCCAATTATGCAAAAATATATAGGGTGTTCCATTGAAGAAAAACAAGATTTTTAACTTTTAAAATCGCTATTTTCAACGGGACATAGAAAACACCCTGTATGATATTTTCCAAAAAATATAATAATTAACTTATAGCTTACTTATTATTAAAGAGATGGATACTACATAATATACAAAATAATAACTTTTAGTTGGTTATTTTTAACTTTTAGCGAGTGTCTACATTTAGAGAAATTTTAATAAATCTTAATTTTACTCAAAAAGTATTAACATTTTCTTATTTAATATATTTACAAAGTATACCTAAAAGAGTGGGAAGAATCCAAAAATGCAAAAAAATACAGGGTGTTCCATTGAAAATAAGAAAGTTGGTATCGTTCCAAGGAAAACCGAACACCCTGTATAAATGAAAATATAATATTTTAAAAATATTTTTTACTTCGTGAATATTTGTTCCTTACAAATTTTTTGTGACTCCAGTAGTTTCTGAGATAAGTATATGGGTCACCTTACGTGGACCACCCTGTACTCACAAAATACAGGTGTGCAGAGATAAACAAGTGTGTAACCAGTGGCGTATCACAAAAAATATAAAAAACTTCTAATGCATATTTTTTCTTTATCTTTGGAAAAATGTTTTTTTTAAATATTTTTCCTTTATTCCTTATGTCAAAAGGAATTCAGTATTTTAATATATAACATTAATTACATAACACCCTGTATAGATATTTCAACAAAGCGGTTTTGTAAGCGTCTAAAATTTGGTAATTTTGGTAATTTGACAATAAATGCCATTTAATTTAATTTACATCGCGAAATCAATGGTTACAATAGGTAACTTACTAACCTTGTTGGTTTAGGTTTATAAGAAGGCCTACTATGACTAATTGGTTTAATTGGCTTTTTAGTGATTTGACTATGTTGACTAGGAGCGGTGTAGAGCACGGAGGGCTCTGATATGTGTTGTTGATGATGGTGATGATGGTTCGGCACCACGGTGTTTTCTGTTGCGTTGTGGGCGCAACATGACCCGAACATGAAAGTGTCCACGCACATGCCTATGTGGTAGCCTTCAGACTTCAGGCATTCGTATACGAACATGCAGGTTCCTTCCTGACCGTCAACCCAGCAAGGTTTCGGACTAATTTGGTATGATGATACTAAAATAAGAAAATATATTAGATTACATATTACGTATATTTTCCAATAATTATATTTTTTAGATTATATTTTGAAAATAAATATTTCCCCTATGTACCTATAAAATTTATGTTCGAATGTTCGAATTATCAATTTATTATGAAATTAAAGGTTTTAAATATTCATTGTTTATATATTTTTAATAGATAAGAAGATCCAACATTTTAACGGGTTTCTTACAATATAATACATTAAGATATAAAATACAATAGTTTCAATTAAAAACTAGCCACCCTTAATACCTTTTGAGTTATAGTAAATATGATTTTAAGCAAAAACAGATCGATTTAGATATCGAGGGGGAAGCACAAATCCAGTGTTAAACAAATTTTTGTTGCACCCTCTCGACCCATACCTCGCGAAACATTAAATTTTTGATCCATTGAAGTGAAAAAATAAAAATTAAATGTACAAAATCTGCTCCGCTATTTGCTAAACAACAATAAGTGTTGAAAGTAAATATGTCCTTCATCAAGCAACATGTTTCCTTGTTCGTCCATCTGATTTTCTAATGACTGGGTAATAAGTGGGTCTATAACATTTGCAAGAAGATCAAGATAAAAAGCGGTCCAATTATTTTGTTGTCAAGCATACTTGCCCATACATTGATTTTTTGAGGATATTGAGTATGATCCTCTCGAAGTTGCTGGCACATTTAAATTTTATAAGTATAAGTGGGAGTATAAGAACGTATGGCAGGCCCCTTCGGCCACGCTTTACACTGATCTTTCAGGGTTATTTTACCCCCTTTCGGTTCTATACGTATCCCGCCACTGCAAAGCGTTACCTGTGTTTGGTGGTTAAGGCCATTCCCGGAATTTAGTCGCCGGGCCGACCATACGCCCGATTTAGGCTAGTGGAGTGTAGGACTAGGAGGGGCAAAAGTTGGTTTTTGCGGGCCTTGAACTGACCCCAAACTAATTACAATCCGGGTATTAGTAAGGACCCCATTTAATTGGGGTTGAGGGAATGAGGCTTGGGTGATTAGTAAGTTGCTTGGACAACCTTGCTGGTCTGTGTCCGGCTCTGCCGGAATTTAGAATCTGCTGCGCGCAGTTGTTTACCCCACTAGGGTGTTGTTTTTACTTTCCCCACATTCTTAGATTCTTTTTGTATATTCTTAAATTTATTTTATTATTAAATTAATGTATAATACCATTTACCAAAATAAAACAAGATTATGCAAACTAAATTAAAATGAGAAGGAAAAAAACGGAAAACAAAATAAATTAAAATAGTAGGTTGAGAAAAAACGCTTTACAGAATTAGCATTAGGTACCTACATGAAAATAAATCTATGTGATCCTCAAACTTATTGTAACTAGACATAATTTGATAAAGTGGTGATTGAATCAAAATATTTGTTCGTTGGGTTGCGATGGAAAATGTGGTTTTGTTCTCAAGCGGGGAATTTGAAAATTTAACATGTAAGTTAACTCCTCACATTTAACATCATAGTTTATTATTCTGTGCAGAAACAAAACACGAGAGCTTAATCTCCGCTGTGCCAGACTATTAAACTTAAACTCTAAGAGGAGTAATTTATGTTCATATCCCTGAGTGATTTCAAAAACCGTCGTTGAGCTGATTCTAAACTTTTTATATGTATATCGTATTTAGGTGACCAGATTATTAAAGCATACTCCAGCTTAGCTCTTACATGCGTATTATATAGTGTAGTATAAGTAAAAGGACATGAAAAGTCTTTAGAATTTCGTGTAAGAGTTTTATATGGGGAATAAAACTTAGCTCTGTGTCAAATGTCACACCAAGATCTATAGAGTTGTCAATCTTTTGCAATATGTTACCTCCTAGCTGGTAGTCAAAAATAATTTTATTTATTTTACGTGTATATGACATAGTGTTGCATTTGCTTACATTTAAATTTAATTTATTTTGTGAGCACCAGTTGTTTAAGTATTCAAGACCTACAATCCTACAATCATTAATATAATAAATGGGTTGTAATAACTTTAAATCATCAGCATATAACAAAAAAAGTTTTACTGTTAACTTATTACCAATGTCATTAATGAAAATAGCAAATAACATGGGTCCCATTATAGAGCCCTGAGGGACACCAGAAAGTTGTTCTGACAATTTCGACTTATGACCACGTACTTCTACATACTGCTGACGTAGGTATGATGTAAACAATTTAATAAGGTTGGCACTAAACCTATTGTGACGTTCTTACTTGATTTGGTTTTTTACACTCATACGCTGTTATCGATAATGATTAATTATTGCCAGGTTTTTGTTACAGATTTGCGTATTAGATCATGCATTGATACTTATCAAATTATGTGGATGATGGCCCCTTCCACTCTTGGTTAGACTCGTTTTTTCTTTAAATAGGTGATTCCTTGACCTGTCGCCTGTCACTTTATTACTTCCGTGTCCACACGGACCTCACCCCTGTGTTCACCCGTTGAGAGATTGCCTTTTGAGGAATTAATTCATGTTATCAGGGAAAAATTATTTATTTTAAACACCTTATAAACGGAACTAACAGAAATATTTGTTAAAGCAGCTACTTTTGTAATCTAAGTGGATCCCACCGCAAAATGACCGAAAACTTCCATTCGTGCAGCTTCATCCAGTACACTCGATCTTTTCTGTTTTTAGTTTCCCAAATTTTTTTACCAGGTTACTAACGTATTAATGGCCTACATTTTTTCATTGATATCAACCTCTCGCCAAACGCGTGGGGTTCTACGAGCACAGGAATCAAATTGTTAATAAAAAATAATTCTGTTCTTCCTGGTAAAGTATACACTATTTTTCAAATATTTAGGTAGTTTGTTATATCAATATAAATATTTTAACTAAAATGTGTAACAACTCTGCTAAAGATAAATTAAAACAAATCAAATAAAATGGTTTTTGTTATATAATTTTTTTATGGAATTCCTTGTTTTATTTATATCACACCTCTTTTGTCTCCGGGAATTCGTGATCGGATTTTAATTGATTTAACTTCAAAGGGTCATAATTACATTTTCTTTAAATGATGTGTCGCCAGGTGTAGGGTGACATGTAAAATATTTTAGTAAGGGTATCTGGAGGTGAGAGGGTGCAACATAAAATTTGGATTGGATTTGTACTTCCCCCTCGATATCTAAATCGACCTGTTTTTGCTACAGATCGTATTTACTAAAACTCAAAAGTTATTAGGGTTGGCGAGTTTTTAGTTGAAAGCCCTGTATAATTAAGTATCTTTTAAATTTATTTAAACGTTACCTTTTCCTCTGTGAGGATGGTTGACAGCCGCTCCTGGGGATATTAACCATAACAGTATGGTACCCAGAATGGCCATCCAGAGCATACTTGATCCTGCAAGATAAAGTATATATTAATAATATTATAGTTAAGCAAACAAAATAAATGTACGTTTATGTTAATAAATGTTTAATAAATATTAATAGTTTATTAATTTAAACCTATGAATACATATTGTGGACAACTAAATCAAATTCTACAAAAACAAAATTAGTGTTATTGTAACCCACTTTCGGGACAGTGGGATGGATATTTGGTCGATCTAGTCTGCCAAAGGTATTTTTTTAAACTTACTTCAGGTCAAAAATAATTATTACCAGTTTTAAGTTGATTAGTTTTTAAACCATAAACCACCTGTCCCATGGCTGTGCGACTTACCATTGCGCTGGTAACTCTGTCGAAAGTTGTATGTCACGTAGGGTAAGTGTATTTTGTCGGCCGTTATGAAACTGTTTATTTTTAAAGTATTAATTATTCGGCCATTCCCAAAACGAAAATAGTCATGGTTTCCTATATTAAAGTTAAGTAAGTAAACATTTTATTTATTTTCAAAACCAAATGGTTTGGTTTTTTACTATTTTAATAAAAAATTAGCAATTTAAAAATAATTTTTATTTTAGTAGTTTTTTTTACTCAATTCCAAGTGCGTCCTGTCAATTTTGTCGGCTGTAGATTACAAAATAAAGATTAAACTAAACAACCATATACGAGCTCTAACAACTTAATGTTCGGACGATTTTAATTTTCAGAAATATTTACTCATTTCTCATTAAATAAATATTATTTAAATTTAAAATTAAAATATTTTCTTTTTTACACGCTTAGAAGTATATATACTTAAATAAGATTTTAGTTAAATAATAATTGAACAAAAAAAGTAAAACAAATAAAAAATTAACAAATTATGTTGGCAACTTAAAGTTCGGACGACTAACGTTTTTAATTTATGGTCATCAAAGTGGCTATGATTTAAGTTAAAGAAGTGTCAAATTAATTAATCTTGTGGCATTGTTTTATAATGGTTTCTAATTTACCGTATTAGAAATGCCTCGTGGTAAGGCTACTTCTAAAGAAATTTGAAAAATTGTAATATAACAGTACCATGAAGGAAAAAGCATGGGAACTATTGGAAAAAATTTAAATTTGGCGAAATCTACCAAAGGAAACATTATAAAATGTTATAGGGAAACCAGTGATTACGAAACTTGGGGTAAAAGTACAGGGCAGCCAAGAAAAGTATCTCCTAGAATAAGGAGGCAGCTCGTAAGTTAAAAATCGCCGTTACTTCCCTTAAAGTGGATCTTCGATTATTTTTGCAAATCCTTAAACTTGTAGACAGTGGATTCATAAATCCGGAATAAGTTATATGTAAGGTATAAATGTATCAATGTCGTATTTAGCGATGAATCCAAATTTGACGTGTGTAGGTGATTGTAGAAAACGAATTATTCCGGATAAAACTGAAGCATTCCATAAAGACTGTTTTAAAAGAACTGTAAAATTTGCAAAGGGGGTAATGATTTGGGGTTGTATGTCTGGAAAGGGGCATATGGAAATAATAGATGGAATAGTTAATGCAAATAAATATCAACAAATTCTACAAAACAGCCTTATTCCCAGTCTAGAAGATCTTTATCCCGATGGTAATTTTATCTTTCAACAAGATGGAGCATCAAGCCACACAGTGTGGCCCACACTGCAAAAACAACCAAAAACTGGTTTGAAGCACACACTATGAGAGTTTTGTCAAGGCCTTTAAGTAGTCCAGACCTCAATATTATTGAAACATTGTGGCACCGCATAAAAAGTTATTTAGGAAATAATCCTCAAAGAACCACTAATGATTTGAAGACAAAATTGTCAGAAATATGGGAATCTTTTACAGCAGGTTATTGTAGATCCTTAATGGAATCCATGCCAGCCAGGATAAGAGCTGTTATAAAGGCCAAAGGAGATGTAACGACGTACTAAACCTTCAAATAAGTGATCGTCCGAAGTTGCCAACATAATTTGTTAATTTTGTATTTGTTTTATTTTTTTTGTTTAATTTTTATTTAAATATAATGTTATTTAAGTAAATGTGACTTCTAAGCATGTAAAAAAAAAATATTTTAATTTTAAATTTAAATATTATTTCTTGAATGAGAAAATGAGTAAATATTTCTGAAAATTGGTACCGTCCGAACATTAAGTTGTTAGGGCTCATACAAATTAGCCGTATATATGCGCGATTTTTTTTTTTAAAGGAATTTTAATATGTTAGAGCACAATCCCAGGCCACCTCGTAAAATATAATCTTTGCTAAATATTCTATATTTTCTGTTATCGGCGTGGAATGTGTAAGGTTTTTAATGAAACAATTCTGGATTCCTAAATTTCATCAATTTTTTTGTTCCGAAAAGTGCCAAAATGTTCCGAAATGCTACTCTTAATAAAGGGTTGGACGTTGCAGCTGAGCTAGGGTTGCCATGTTATATTTGAACAAATATAATTTATAATTGTTGATTGTTAGCGTATAAAAAAATTACATTCTATGAAAATACTCTAATAATAGTGAAGTTTTAAATATTTAAATATTTTTTAGATTTGTTTGTTCTTTCGCTATAAAATATAAATAATAAATATTAATTAAGTAAGAAAGATTTCAGCTAATATTTATTAATTTATATTTTTCGGGATTTCTTGATCAGTCCCGAAATAAGGAACTTTTTTTCGAAATCGGGATACCGATACCAAAAACTGGAACTCTAGGCATGTGTGCAAAACTTGATAGATATTTTACAGGTAGGTAGTATATACAACCCTCTATGATTTTAAAATACTTTTTAACATACAAAAATAATAACCTTGGCTAAACTTTCGACTTTAGCTAAAATTGATCCGAACGTTTAGCCGAAGCCTACTTCCTACTAGAATATTTGGGGATTTAAATGTTAAATTTTCAGCTTAGGCTAAACCTTTGGGGAGATTTTAGCCGAAGCTTATAAACCATCATCTATAAATCATCTGGCCTATTAGCTGGCGATACCCATCTTAAAGATGATATTATTTAAATAGTTTTAATGAGTTACCTGTATGCAATGTTCTACCCTATTCTATATTCGTTTAATATATTAGTTTTATGAAGCAGTTCTCTTTAGTTTTAGTACTATTCTAATGCGCAATAACAACACAATGATCCTTTTAACCCTTTCAATACTGCGGGGATATATACGTCCCAAAGAAAATTAAAAAATGTCTCTACTTAATTAAGTGCGTTTAAATAAAACAGGGTCGGGACAATTTAGTATTTCTATGTCTTGACTTGGGATATCAGTAATAAAAACTTAATTTATTTAACGTCATGTGAACAATAACCAGCTGTTTTTCGGCCATTGCACGCTCTAAATTGAAAAAGACCAGTCACATAACCTATTTTGTGCAGTTTTTGTGTAAATTTTGCTTGAATTTTTGTGATACTTTATGTGCATTGTACGTCACAACTCATTCCTCAAAATATACGTTGGGACAAAAATATCCCACCAGTAATATGACAGGGGATAGTTTTATCCCATCAGTGTTTTTTGATAATAAACATTTTCAAAAATAGTAGAATTTCTTTAGTGTGGGGATAAATATATCCCAGGGCATATTACTGCAGGGATAAATCTGTCCCAGGCCTTTTTTTCAAATACCACCAAAGTTAAAAATCTGTTATTCAGTCAATTAACTATTTTTAACCTAAATATAGTTTTAACACTAATAAAAAAGTTTTAAATTAATTTCCGAAAAGTCGTATTGAAAGGGTTAAGGGTTATTGCGCAAAATCACTGCTTCATCAAACGAATATAATATATCGTCAGGTTACTGCACAAAAAAGATATACTTCCCAAAAGACTGTTTTAAGTAATTTGAATTTGTAACTTATTTTCATTGGGTCTACTTACTAAAAAATTGAGTTATACCGACATTGATCGGTTATGCTCGTAGTTGGCCTTGCAAAAACAATTATAAAAAATGTACTTAAGTCAAAAAATTAAAAAATGAAGTTATCTTATTTTTGCAGTATTATAAGGTTCTCAATAAAACTTTTCGAATAAACCAATTCGAATCTTTACAATTAAATTAATTTAGTAGGCTGTTGACGGTACCAAACTTATAGCGTTTGAAGTCTACATTACATTTTAACCTACAATAAATCCCACTTTTAATAGTATATTATTAATGTATCAAGTTTGATAAACGCCAAAAAATTTATAAACGAGGTGCATACTATACTTTTTCTAAGACAAATACTTATTATTATCTTAAAATGATTTAAATCAAAAATTTGTATAGAGCGCCATCTATGAAACAATAGGGGAATCTGTGTGTCACCGATAGTTTTTCACAGTGAAAGTAAAGAATATGTTTTATGAGAACTTTACAGTGGAGTCCGTGTCCGAATTTAGGTTATAATTTACTGCCGGCGAAATTAAAAGGTCAGTACAATGTTCATATAAACTTTTCAAATATTGGCGTTGAGAAACTATTTAATACTTTTTTATTTTTGTATTGAGATAATAAAATAATTTTCACATTTAGTATTATTTTACAAGAAAGGCACTTTATTTTACCGATTGTATGACATTTGACAACGGTTAACGAACTTAAAACTAACTTCAGCCCGTGACTAAAAACCTGTTGCTAACTTCAGCCCGTGACTAAAGCTCCATAAAGCCACAACTTGTCAATGTGTATTTAAAAGATCACTTAGTGTCATGGAAACATGTACGATAAAGGGCGTTTTAAAGGTGGGAGTAGAAAAAATATATTTTCTATGTAAAAGTAAACTTAAGTTTAAATAAATAAAAATAGAGACGGATATCACTAAATGTTTATGTTTTATTTAATAAATCTTCATAGAATGTTAAAAAAAAGACAATTCTAATATCCAAAACACAATAACATTGTTTCGCTTGCTGTGACAGCATCTTTCTACTGAAACAACATTGAAGAAGTATTATTTCTAATTTAGGTATAATAATCTAATAATATTGTTTATTCAAACCCATATTGTGGTAAAAATATATTAT